TCTGAATTCACCCTTTGTGCTCCAGATGACTGACTTCGTGTTCCATAAATAAATGCATTGCAGCAGGAACTGACAATGCAGGGGTCGGGTGCCAAGAGATGGTAAAGCCAGGCCTTGCACACTGGCACACCGACCCTCAATGTAATGGGCCGCTCAGGTGAGCTCAGGGGAACCAGGCGGATCATTACGCTGCACACCATTCAGGGCTTGGTGCAGGGCCACTCTCCAGGAAGGGACAACACAGAGACAGGGGCTGACTGTGACTGTGGTAAACCTAATTGCTCTCTCAGAATGAAATTGAACTCCAGTCCCTGGGGAGCTGACTCCACAGGCCACGCCCTGAGCCCCGAGTTCGTCCATCCCATGAGTCTCTGGTGCCCAGTGCCCAGCAGCACACTGGCTTCATTTAATACTGTTTTACCCTCAGCCTCTGTGGTCTTAAATGGTGGCTTGGCCTCTGTGGCTCCCTCCCTGTCCCCTTGACCTTCAAAAGGCTCCCAAGACTCACAGGCAGTGGGCACTGGAGCTGAAGTGTCCTCTCAGGCAGTGGGGACTACAGCGAAACACAGCCCTGTGGCCAGACCTCGGGAGGCCACAGCCAGAGCACAACCTGCATACGCCACTCCCCGCTCTGGGGTCCCCTGGCAGCTGACTAGGCAGAGCTCCTTCCCGCTGCTGGCAGCCATGTGCCAGGGACTGTGGGCTCCTCTCTGCAGGTACGGGGCTAACTCCACCTAACGCAGAAGGGACACCCGGCTGATATGCTGCCTTGTGGATATGGCAGTGTCACTAGGGAAGACAGAGCAGGATGAGGTGCAGAAGAAAACATACAGGAAGATGGGGGCTGACGTGCTTCCCCCCTTCCCTGGGTCCCAAAACATGTTCAACGACAGAGGTGGAGATGTCGCTGTAGCTAGTGGGCAGAGTGCTTAGCATGGGCCCGATCCCCACCATCACAAAATATATGTGTTATTAAATAAGACATAAAGCTACAGAGCCCCAAATGACGTAAACATAAAGTATAGGAGCAGCGCACGGTGGTACACACGTATTATACCAGCACTCTGGGAGGCTGAGGCATGGGATCATAAGTTCAAGCCAGCCTGGACAACTTAATAAAACCCTGTCTCAGAATAAAAAATAAAAAAGGGATGCAGCTCAGTTTGAAGGCCCTGGGTTCAATTCCCAGCACCAAAAAGAAAGAGAGAGAAAGAAGGAGTGGGAGGGAGAGAACAGGAAATTGGAGTGACTGCTTCTTTTTTTTCAGATTGTCATTCTTTTATTCCTAGAGGGAGAACAAAACTAAACATAATTAAGCAGATTATACAGCATGGTGGAAGGTGATTAAGTGTTGCAGAGGATAATTTTTTTTATTAAAGGTTGCAAACATACATGACAACAAGAAATGAAGACACTAAATAAAAATTTCAATTATACATATACATGACAGCAAAACAAGGATGTGAAATAAACAAAAATTTATGCAACACGGACTGATAATCCAAATACATTATTAGTTTGATATGATCTTCAAACTTTATATGTTCTTTCTCCTGACTACTTCTGATTGGTTGGTCTCATGGAAAGGGTGGCACTGAATCTGTTTCCAAAGGGGCAGGCGTGAGAATCACAGGGTTGAAGGGGTATATTCCAGGTACGGGGTCAAGTTCTACATCCTCTTAAAGAGAGGGGAGACTCTGGGAACATTCTGATTTTGCGGGGGTGTTGTACTGGGGATTGAACTCTGGTCCTTGTGCTTGCAAGGCAGGCAGCAGAACCACTGAGCTAAATCCCCGGCCCTCTGGGAACATTGTGGAAAGAGCTATAGAGCTACACAAATGTGATATCGCTGTACTGAGACAAAGGCCCCGTGCCTTCTGGCCTCTGTATGGCTACTTGCTCTTGTTCAGACCAGGCCCCCGTCTGAGCCCATCCCCAGGTGTCATGTCCCTCACCCGCCAGACTGGGACGGGGCTGGTTTTAGGCAGGTTAGCCATGGAGGGCTCCACGTGGAAAGACCAGAGAGGCTGTTCCGTGGACATGGGGTTTCTGATCCCTGACAGTTCCTGGGAAATGCTCCTCAGGAGCCTCTGAGCCCTCGCTTTCTAGGCCTTACAGAATCCGAGAGTGAAAAATAGATGAGTGAGACAAACTCCAAATATTGCTATTGTTGAGGAACTTTGTATAGCAAGCAGAGCTCAGAAGTCAAAGGCAAGGCTCCGACGTGCTGACGTGCTGTCCAAAGGAAAGGGAGGGAAAGGAGGGGCAGCCTCTGACGGTGGCACTGCTGGCAAGAGGGCTGACGGTCCCAAAGTAGGTGGAACTGCACTGAAGGTCAGATTCAGTCTATGTAAAAAAACCACAGCAAAAGCATGGAAACCATGGTAACGCAAATGTCTGGCCTGAGGTTTGGCGAAGTGGCCCTCGGTATAGTTAGGGTAAAGCTGGGCAGGGGTAAGTGGCGTGTGACGAGAGGGTCCCTGGTGGGACCATTTCAAGCAGCAGCAATTTGCCTTGCCTATACGTGGGACGGACAGTCGATCTGTGATTACAGCCCTTTTGGCAAAGACAAATTTTGGATAACATAGTACGGTGGTTGAAAAGGGAAAACAGTACGAATAACTGAAACATGCTATAACTCGTGAACATGGACGCCCAGCAGTGTGAACCGAGAGCCAGGGCCTGGCAGAGTCTGATCCCTGGTACAAAAACAAAAGTGTGAACCAAAAGAAACGTAGGAGTACGTGACTGCCAGCAGAGACAGGATTCCAGGGGAGTGGCTGCAGTTCTCCTGTAGGGAGACAGGGACCCAAGGTGTCGCCAGCTGGTTAAGGGTTCTTTTGCTCAAGTCAGGTGGAGATCGTGAAATGGCAAAGGGCAGCTAGTGGCCCCAGTGCCACCTTCAACCCGTGAATGCTGGATGCCAGGAGCTGACATTGCAGTCTTGATACCACCGACTACTGGTCAGCTGCCACCATTTGACACTGGCATGTGCTGGGTACCACTGGTCAATGCTGCCATTTGGTGTTCTCTGTTGCTGGTGTTCTTTCTTTCTTTCTTTTTGGTTTTTTGAGACAGGGTCTCACTATGTAGTTGAGACTGACCTGGAACTCACTATGTAGCCCAGGCTGGTCTCGAACTCACAGTGATCCTCCTGCCTCAGCCTCCCGAGTGCTGGGATTACAGGTGTGCGCCCCCACGCCCGGATTGTTGCTGATCTTCTTAACTGCTGGTCTCTGGAACAATTCAGTCTTCCCAGTCCCCAGCATCTATTGTTCTTTCCTTTAGTGACTGCCCTGTCTACCCTACTTATCCTGAGTAGATTTACAGGATCTTCCAAGCCCACACTACCCAAGAAAAAAACCACCAGCAGATTTACAGGATCATGCAGCAAATCTTTAGCAGTGTGAACAGTAGCTGTGTGGAAACACAGGAGGGTCAGAGCCCCAGAGGGAACCTTCCTATACCAACCAAAAAAGTGTGTGCAGGAGGACTGCTTATATAGCAGTTGTAGGCTTGTGATGGGCCCGATTTAGGCCTGTGTCTAGTTCGAACTCAGGCCTGCTACTTGGCCCAAGTGTAAGCCTGTGGTTGGTTCCCAGAATGGCCACAGCTGCCATGGCCAAGGCTGGGGCACAGGAGTGGTCAGATTGACAGCTCTCACGCCTTTGGGGGAAATGGTGCCGACGCCAGGAATCTTGGGAGGGACTCACTAGCAAAGTTTACCATGACTAATTGAGGTTTGGAGCGGTTGAAGATGTTAATAACGGTCTGGATCCCTCCTTCCTTAATTGTAGCCATGTCAGTGTGGTTCCCCTCACCCACTTCTTCAGAGGCTATGGAGCTGCCTTCCTGTCAGGGAGGCCTGGATGGGGAGTGGCCGCCAAATGACCAGGGAGGACCAGAGGCCAGCTGCCCCAGTCAGTTGGAGGGAGGAGCAGAGCGAAGTGAGGGGAGGGAAGGATAGCCATTAACCAGACCACAGCCCCTCTGGCTGGACAGGAACTGGAAGCCCATTAGCCAGACCACACCCCTCTGGCTGGACAGGAACCAGAAGCGGGGCCATTAACCAGACCACAGCCCCTCTGGCTGGACAGGAACCGGAAGCGGGGCAGACACTTCCAGTCTGTGACAAAGGCAATCGGGGCAGGTCCTTAGAGAAGGGAATGGGAGCCCTTGACCACAGCTACTGCTTGTACTTTCTCTTCTCCATCAGGGCCTCAAACAAACTTTTACCTGTCCTTCAGGAAAGAACAGAAGAGGAGGAATTCAGCATTTATTTGGTTTAAAATAATAGCTTTCTCCCACTAAAGGACAGCCTTCTTCCCATCACACCACTTTTCCTGTCCAGAGTAACCTGACACTTGATACCTGCAGGGGATTAGTGATGTCACGAGGTCCCCCCATCCCTCACCGCTACAGCACCCAATCCCACCGCTGCTCCTACAAGAAGTGCTCTGTCTGGGCCATATTGCTCTCTCTCCTGTGATCAGAGATGGCCCAGCAGATTGTCCCTACAATAAAGGCTTTTTTGTAGTGGCATAAATAAATAAAGAGTTAAGCCGGGTGTGGCGGTGCAGGCCTATAATCCTATCATATATATTTTTTGGTACCGGGAATCGATAGGCCTACAATCGTAGCACTTTAGAGACTGCGGCTGGAGGATTGCTACAAATGAAAGGCCAGCCTGGGCTGTAGAGCAAGACCCTGTCTCAAAAAATAAAACAAACAGGCCAGGGATTTAGCAGAGTCCCGAGTTTGATCCCCGGTACCAAAACAAAAACAAAAAAAAAAAGAGAGAGAATTAAAAGCCTGGGTTTAGTCATTGGACTTCCCGGTGCCCATCAATTTATCGTCCCTCGGCTCTAAACACCCCTCAGCGTTTTGTAGACGCGAATCCGGGCCCTTGCGATACTCTGCAGGGTGCAGCCCGGAAGCAGCTCTGGCGTCTTCCGCTGTCCCCTCAGCCGGACGCCCCGCCCCCTCCTCGGACCGGGGCCTCCGCGTGACGCCAGGTTCTAGAGCAGCACAGGCGCTCGCATTCCCGGGCGGTGACCCCGCGACACCAGCGACATGGCCGCAGTCAGCAGTCACAGCTGAGAGGTCTCCGACGAGGTCTGGATCCCCTCCACCATGGTGTGGAGTGGCTAGTGTAGTATTGTATGATGGACCTGTTGTTCTCCTCATTTATTTATGTATTTAGATGTGTTTGAGGCAGGTCCTATGTAACCCAGGCGGACCTGGAACCGACAATGATCCTCCTGCCTCGGCCTCCTGCGTTTGGATTACAGAGGTGTGCCACCACACCCAGCATCTCTTTACTTTTTTTTTTTTTTTTTTTTTTCGAGAATGGGAAAACTTTATTGAGACAAAGATAGCTTCTGCTTGAGAGATAGAACTGGGACAGGAAAGTGGGTCTCTCCGGCCATCTCTTTACTTTTTGTAGCCAATTTCTGTCTACTCCCTACTATAGACAACAGTTCCTGGTATTAAATTTTCTCTGTTGAAATCACTAGTTTCTTTCTCAGGACTGGTCACACAGAATGTTAAACAGCTGGTTCTTCTTGTAGCTGTAAGGGGTGGGGGTGGGGACTGCTGTTAGAGGATAAAAACTCTGCACATAGGAGTATGTTGTTATATTTGTTTTTTTCTTAATTATTGAAATTTCTAAAAACAAAAACAAAAAGCCAGGCATGTTGGCTCACATCTATAAAACTAGCACTTGAGAGGCTGAGGCAGGAGGATCACTGAGAGTCTGAGCCCAATTTGGGCCACATAGTAAATTCAAAGCCAGCCTGAACTACATAATGAAAACCTGTCTCAAAAAAAAAAAAAAAAGAAAGGCTGGGGATTTAGCTCAGGGGTTCTGCCGCCTGCCCCCCAAGCACAAGGTCCCGAGTTCAATCCCCAGTACAAAAAAAAAAAAAAAAATTGAAACTCCTAAAACTAATAAAAACTAGGAAAGGGTCTCATACATGCTGGTTTCTCAATATACTTTCTCTAACAAAAGTTTACATGTATCTTAAATTTCTAACACAAGAATGAAGGCCAGATGAAGAAACTGTCCAGAATATATAGAGCAATGGAATGTTAGAAGCAAGAAGAAACAAACACACTCAGAGCTGCACATATTATGTGCATTTTCTTAGGAAAAATTTAAGTTTTTTTTAAATACGCAGGTACGTGCCAGGTGTGGTAGCCCATGCCTATTATCCCAGCAATTGGGAGGCTAAGGCAGGAGGATTGCTGAGAGTTCAAGGCCAGTATAAACTATAGAGTGAGACCCTGTCTCAAAAACAGGACAAAACAAGTACAACCAAAAAATGGAGGAACAAATGAGTAATAAGAAAAGAAGACAAGAAGAAAACTGATGAAATGTGCGGGCTGGAAGTGTTACCCTCTGGTAGACTTTTGCCTAACATGCACAAGGCCCTGTGGTTGGATTCCCATTACTGGAGAAAAAGAAAGAAAACTGATAAAATTTAGGAATTATGAAAACAGGCATTTACTTCCTGTCTACCTTATAGAAATTTTGCATATCTTTAATGATTTCTGGGTTTTTTTGTTTTGTTTTGTTTTTGTTTTTGGCTACAGATTAAACCCAGGGCCTCTGATAGAGAAGGTAGGCACTCTACCACTGAGTGAGCCCCTATATGAATATTTTTTTATTGCTTTTGTTTTTTCAGGCAGGGTCTCCCGATGTAGTCCAGGCTGACCTTGAACTCACTAAGTAGCCCAGGCTGGCCTTGAATTCATGTTGCTTCTCCTGCCTCAGCCTCCCGAGTGCTAAGATTATGGGTGTGCACCACCATGCCCGGCCTGTACATGATTTTTTATAAATATCACTAAAGTCCATTCTGGGATGATAGAACTAAAGTAATAACTGATGGTCTGTTTTTCCCTTTTCTTTTCTTGTCTGATCGTTTGTTGGAGGCAGGGTCTAGCTATTAGTTCAGGCTGGCCTTGAACTCAGAAGCAATCCTTCTGCCTCAGCCTCCCAAGTGCTGGGATTACAGGCGTGCGCCATCAAGCCCAGATAGGCTTCCTCTTTTCTATACACCCAGTTCACTGCCCTAGTGGAGAACTGAGAAGGGCCTCATGAGACTGTTGGAGAAGCAGACTCCTGAAATGGGTGTGAGGGACCATTTCCCGTTGGACCTTCTGCGCGTCTTGTGGAGCAGGGCCTACGGCCCTTTATTCTGAACTGTTCTCAAGGACGTTTGGGTGCCAGACAGTGCCTCCCTCCAAAGCCAGTGGCAGGGTTGCTTCCTACCTGGGGAAGCAGTCAGGCAGGCGTACTCACTGCCCACCGTGAATTATAGAGATTCCAGTTGCCTGCGTTCCTGTGCTGCGGCTGTGTGCTGTAGAGCGGGGATCTTCCTGCTGCCCCCGGGGGTTAGGACTTGGGGGAACTGCTGAGGCGCTGTGAGCAATGCATTGGCTCTCCTACCAGCCATCAGGAAACTGTGGCAGCTACGCTAGTCGCGTCTCTGTAGGGTGAAATCTGAGACTTCTCACAGATTTTCTTTCCTTTTTTTTAAAGCAAAGCATTTATTGGTACATGTAGCTATATGTATCGATCACATTCATCATAGGACGTCTCCACCTACAGATGACATATCTTGCTTCTTTTTCCCATTCCCCTCCCTCCTTCAGACCTCTCTTGCCCTCATTTATTTTTAAAAATTAAATTTATTTTATTTTATCCCATTCCCCCTCAAGCTCCCCTTCTTCTTCTTATTTGCAAAAACTGTTTCCATTTTTTTCTTCTATTCTTTTTTATTTTTGAGACGGGGTCTCACTATGTACTTGAGATTGTCCTGGAACTCACTGTGTAGCCCAGGCTGGTCTTGAACCCACAGCGATCCTCCTGCCTCAGCCTCCTGAGTGCTGGGATTACAGGCGTGCACCACCACGCCTGGCCTCTTCTATTCTTTTTTCTTGTCCCTCCTTTCCTTTCCTCCTCCCTTGTTCCTCTTATTTGATTTTTTTTTGGGGGGTACCAGGGAACAACTCATGACCTTGCACTTGTGAGGCAGGCACGGTGCCACGGAGCTGAATCCCCAGCCCCCCTCTTCTCATTTGAGCATCTTCCCATTCCCCAATATCTATTTCTCACAGTTCCTTTTTTTTTGGTGCTGGGGATCGAACTTGGGACCTTGCACTTGCTAGGCAGCAGGCAGGGAACTATTGAGCTAAATCCCCAGCCTCATCACAGTTGTCGACAGTGGATTTCTTGTAATGACCTAGAGTTGGACCTTAATGGGTTCTTTTGTTGTTTTTTTTATCCAATGTGATATCTACCTCATAGTTGGAGTATTTAGGCCATGTACACTTAATACAATAATAAGTATGCTCAAGTTTAACTCTGCTATTGTTTTCCTTCTGCTTCAAGGGCTTTCTTTAACACTCCTTAGAGTCTTAACCCATGCGAGCACATGTCTAACGCTTAGACTATCGCTTCTCCAGTCAGAACTTCATCTCATTTATATCAACCAAAGAGTCATTCTACTTCTGATATCCTATCCCAGGAACTTCCCGACCTGTAAAATAAAAGCTGGGCCTGGGGTGTTGTTTAGTCTTGGATTTGGTCTCCAGTACCACAAAAAAATTTTTTTAAAAATAATAACAAAATATAAAACACAATAAAAAGTTGCTGGGCGTGGTGGCACACGCCTGTAATCCCAGCACTCGGGAGGCTGAGGCAGGAGGATCGCTGTGAGTTCGAGACCAGCCTGGGCTACACAGGGAGTTCCAGGTGAGTCTCAACTACATAGTGAGACCCTGTCTCAAAAAACCAAAAAGAAAAACAAACAAACACAATAAAAAGTTCACATTCATTTTCCTTAGTAAGAAAATATTCCAGGTAGGCAGAGAGTTCTCTTTGTTTATACCATCAGAGGTTGCTTGCTTTCTTTCTTTCTTTTTTTGGTACCAGGAATCAAACTTGGGTTCTTGTTCTTGCCAGGCAGGTGGTAGAACCACTGAGCTAAATCCCTGGCTCTAGGTTGCTTTCTTTAAGAAGAAAGCTCTCAGCCGGGGATTTAGCTCAGTGGTTCTGGCACCTGCCTTGCAAGTGCAAGGATCTGAGTTCAATCCCTGGTACAAAAAAAAGGAGAAAGCTCTCTATGGTACAGAGGCCTCCTGGGGATCAGCTGTGTTACCCTGATCATGTGCCAAGACCCTTATCTAGTTGACTCCTGAGGTGCCCAGACTTTTATCATAGTTCCTGACCCCAGCAGACAGATGAGTCATATACTAGTAGGCCCGGGCTCCTGTGTCACAGGGTCTGAGGCCAGCCTGAACTACATAGGGAGACCCTGTCACCAAAAAAAAAAAAAAAAAGGACCACCTTGAAAGAAAGCCAGGGACATGGGGCAGTGATAGAGCCTGTGCTTAGCAAGCGCAGAGCCCTGGGTTCCATCCTCTGTGTCAAAGAAACAAAACCCCAACATGAGGAGAGATTGGTTAGTGGGTACAAGGTCACAGGAGGGATAAATGTTGATGTACTATTCCCCTGATTGGTGGTTATAATTATCAGCATTGTATAAAATTGATACAGAGAGGATTTTCACTGTTCTGCTCACAAAAAATGATGCTTTTTTTTTCCTTTTTGTTTGTTTGAGACAGGGTCTCACTATGTAGTTGAGACTCACCTGGAACTCACTGTGTAGCCCAGGCTGGTCTCGAATTCGCAGTGATCCTCCTGCCTCAGCCTCCTGAGTGCTGGGATTACAGGCGTGCGCCACCACGCCCACAATGATACATATTTGAGATGACCGATAACCTAAATATTCTGAGTAGATCATTACACCATGACTACATGTATCAAAACATCACCCTGTACTATCTATCAATGGTTTTTGAAAATGTGCAAGAAGAATCATTAATTATTCTGGGCCGTATTCATTGTCTTCTTAGAGCTTGTAGTGCTACACTTTGAACAAAAGCTTGGTTGTCACCAAGTTCATTCCTCATCCTTGGGTCCAGTGAAAATCCACACAGTGCACATCTCTGCGTGTCCCAGCCGCTGTTATTCTTGGTGTTTTCCTCTTCCCTGTGACAGTGCTTGAGTCCCAACTTAATAACAAGAGACGTATCATAGAATTTCCAGATTACATTTTTCTAGAAAGGGCTTCTTCCTTGAAATCCATGAGGATGTCTTTACCCCTAAACAGATCCTAGTTTTTTTGTTTTGTTTTGTTTTGGTACTGGGGATCGAACTCGGGACCTTGCACTTGTGAAGCAGGTGGCAGAACCACTGAGCAAAATCCCCAGATCCTAGCTAATTTGGATACAGATATATACATCAGGGCTGGGGATTTAGCTCAGCGGTTCTGCCGCCTGCCTTGCAAGCACAAGAGGACCCAAGCTCGATCACCGGTACCAAAAACAAAAACAAATATATCCATCAGACACAGCTGGAAGACCTAGGAGGGGTAGCGTCCCAAGAGGTGAAAACATCCTTCTCTCTTACGGTCAGGGACTAAGTACGTGAGGGCTCAGACAGAACATCCAACCTCTACCCAGGCTTCCCCCTCACTGTGCAGCCAGAAGGATAGGAAGAATGAAGGCCTACGGTTGAAGGGTTAATAGACAAAAGACTCCCTAAACCTTGTACCAGGACATATGCTACTCCTATTCTGCCTGTCTTAATTGCTGAGACAAAACACCTGACTCCCAGAGTTAAGGGAGGAAAGATTTATTTGGCTTGGAGTTGATAGAGGTTTCAGTCCATAGGTGACTGGCTCCAAGTCAGAGTGGCACATGGCAGAGGGACAGCACAAAAGAGAAAGTTCATTGCAGGCAGCAAAAGCAAGCAAGCAAGGGGACTAGACAAGCCTCTTTCTGTCCATCATATTGTATCCAGGGTACTGGGACTAGGGTGAAGCCAAACCAACCAGTGGACTGACCTAGTAATCACCCACCTGTAATCCTAGCACCCTTAATCTTGGCGGTGCACTGTGAATCAATCACACACTCGAGATTCAGCCACCTCTGAACAAGCATGAGAGTTTGGGGGACATCTAGATACAAGCCAGACAATTGGCCATTAAGTAACTGTGCCTGTACATACTTACTATAAATGGCTTTGGACAACCACAATTGACGTCGATTGTTGATGGATCAGATCTGCAAAGAGAAAGAGGAAATGATCAGTCTGACTTTGCCGTAGCAGATCTCAAATCACCCTTACAATGTGATCCGTTATATCCCAGAGAGCATGTTGCTCTCAAAAGAGGCAACTAACCAGGCGAAGAGAGGAGAGTTAGTACACACAGATGCACCTTGGGGTCATGCACAGCCTCTGTGTGCTATAGGAAGGGGCTATCTAACCTCAGAAGGCATGCCTACCGAGGTCAAGGAACTTCCGATCACCTTCTTGCTGCCAAAGAAAAAGGCAGAAGGACTGGGGATTTAGCTCAGCAGAGAGAGAGAGAGAGAGAGAGAGAGAGAGAGAGAGAAGGAAGGAAAAGTTAGCATCTAGGTTGATCCAGATGCTAAGAGAATGCCCTATCTAATCATTTCCCAAGCCCCAAGCAGGACCATTAAGATGTACTGACTCCCCAACTCCAATATCACTCCAAACCCATGACCTAGGAGAGGCCAACAGTAGCCATTGTGGAATGCATCTACACTGGTTTTATGCAATTGTCAAAGCTCATGGTATGGTTAAGTGTGCATTTCACTATAGGTAAATTTCACCTTTAAAAAAGTAGACAAAGGGCTATGGATTTATCTCAGTGGCAGCGCACCTGCCTCACAAGCATTAGGTCCTGAGTTAGATCCCAGTTACAGGGGCGGGGGGAGGAGGGGAGTAGGCAAATGCTGGACTTTAAAACTATGCATACTGCAGCTCTTTAGGGGATCTTAGGGATGTCTAGGGGACTTCCCACTACAGTCATCCCACAGTATCTGTGGGTGATTGCTTCTCCAGCCCTCCGCCCAGATAAAAATCCATGGATGCTCAAGTCCTTAATAAAAATAGTATAGGATTTGCGTGTAATCTTCATGCATACTGAAGATCACCTCTGGCTTACTTACAATACGTGATTTCATGTTACAAATATTTTTGATCTGCAGTTGTTTGAATGGGATGATGCCAAACCCACAGATACAGAGGAACGACTTCTACAATGAACACTGACACGTGAGTATATAAGGATACTTTTTCTTCTTCTCTTCCTCCTTTTCTGGTACTGTGTAGTGGATCAAACCCAAGGGTGTTCTGCTCTATCACCGAGTATATCACCAGACCTTTTTAAATTTTGAGACGGAGTCTCTCACTAGGTTGCTCAGATGGGACTCAAACTTGGACTTCTCCTGCCTCGGCCTCAGGACACTTGTGTTGAGCAAGTGTCTGCTGTAAGACCCGGCATGGGCTGACCCTCCCACCTCCCAGGCCTCAGTGACCTGCACCTAGGGGAATGCAGCCTGGAAGATCACTGACTCCCCCTCTCCTTCACGGAGCTCCTTTCCACAGACCTTTCCAGCTTCACAGGTCAGGAGAAAGCTGCCGTCCTCTCAGCCTAGCTCAGGGCCTACTGCTGTTTCCTTTCATTGCTGCTTTACACTTCTTTCCTTGCTCCTTTTACATTTCATCAAGTATTCACAGAAATCCAGACCTTCCTCGTTAGACATTTTTTCATTTACTTACTTTAGTTTGCAATACTGGGGTTTGAACCCAAGGGCTTTGCATTGAGGTACACTCCCATCCTTTTTTTATGTTTTATTTCATGATAGGGCCTACCTGAGTCACTAAATTGCTTAGGGCTGGGCTCAAACCAGTGATCTACTGTCAGCCTCCCAGCGTGCAGGGATTATAGGCATGTACCCTCCGCAGCTCATTAGACTGTTGCAGAGACCCAGGTGGCTTTGCTTGCAGTTGTGCTCCCAGTGCTTGGCTTGGTTCCTTGCCCATCCGTCATGATGCATTAAAAAACCAATTGTTAGCTGGGTGTGGTGGCGCACGCCTGTAACCCCAGCACTTGGGAGACTGAGGCAGGAGGATCACTGTGAGTTTGAGACCAGCCTGGGCTACATAGCGAGTTCTAGGTCAGTCTCAGCTATATAGTGAGACCCTGTCTCACTCAATTGTTAAACTGGAGCTGGTGGTGGTCACCTGGAGTCTCTCCCAGCCACTAGGGAGACTGAGGCAGGAGGATTATTTTGAATTTGAGGCCAGCCTGGACTACGTAGTGAGTTCAAGGCCAGGCTACACTACATAGTGAGACCCTGTCTCAAAAAAAAACACAAAATAATAAAAAAAAAAACGAAACAAAGAAAAAGGAAGGAAGGAAAGATTAAGTAAAAGACTAAAAGGCAAATTAGAATAAGATACCATGAAAAAAAAATGATACCACTTTTCACCTGAAATATGGGCACCTTTAAAGGACTGGCAAAATAATAATAAATATAATAATAATAATAATAATAATAATAATTTGGTACAGGGATCAAACTTGGGACCTTGCGCTTACAAGGCAGGGGCAGAACCACTGAGCTAAATCCCTGGCACAGGACTGGCAAAATTTAGAAATAGCTGAGGGCTGAGAGACAGGACACTTATTTGCATTTACTTCAGGAAGGGAAGAGGTAACAGTGAATGGCTTGAAATAATAATAATAATAATAATAATAATAATTTGGTACAGGGATCAAACTTGGGACCTTGCGCTTACAAGGCAGGGGCAGAACCACTGAGCTAAATCCCTGGCACAGGACTGGCAAAATTTAGAAATAGCTGAGGGCTGAGAGACAGGACACTTATTTGCATTTACTTCAGGAAGGGAAGAGGTAACAGTGAATGGCTTGAAGCATCTGTCCAGATGTTCTGTGCTGACATCTTCTGATGCAGCAGTTTCACCTGGGTATTTCTTATTGGGCACAGCCGCCGAAATCCGCATTCAAATAACTGTTCCCAGAAGCTCCGAGCCAGCAAACCCAGCAACAATTTCAGTTCCTGATATAATAACGGCACACCCAGGACATGAATTCTGGACCCTGCAGTCATAAAGAGTAGAGTTAACCCTCATATACTGATAGGGAAGTATAACTAGTAGTATCAAGCAAGAAAAATTGCAGAAAATAAAGCAAAATAAAATCTCATTTTGCTTTCTTAAAATTCCATATGTATAAAATACAAATTAAAAGTAATCCTAACTACGTGGGAATCAGGAATGTCACAAGTTCCAGGCCAGCCTGAACAACTTAACAATATTCTGTCTCTAAAACACAGGTGTGTGTGGGGAGAGTAGAGACTGTGCTCAGTAGAGTGGTAGAGTGCTTGCCCCAATGTTGGAAGCCCAAGTTCAATCCCCACTACCCCCCAAAAAAGAATGGGGACTAGGGAGTAGGAGAGTAATCAAACTGTCAATTAGGGTTACCCACAGGAAGGCACAGGGGGTAAAAGGAATGGTTCTGGAGGGATTTGCACTTTTAGTTTATCTCTTTATTTAAACAAACGTCTTAACATTTTATTTATTTACTTGGTACCAGAAATTGAATTCAGGACCTTGGGATTGTGAGCCAGGCAGTGTCTTAACATTTTAAAACAAGATTTAAAATATAGCAAGCTCAATTCTTTGCAGAACAAGACTGTTAAGTAGAGTTCACATTGCTTACGCTAAAAAAGCTACAATTCTTGGTCTGGCATGGTGGCGTCTCAGGAGGCTGAGGCCAGAGGATCGCCACAAGTTCAAGGCCAGCCCGGGCTAGATAGTGAGTTCAAGGCCGGCCTGAACTGCATAGCAAGACCATGCGTCAAAAAATCATAACCACATGTATACCTAAAAAGTACCAATAAACTCAATGAGAAAAAAAAAAAAAAAAACAGCACCACCACAACAGCACAGGAACAAAGCTACAGTCCTGAGTGCATTAAAACATAGCCCCGCGCGGGCTCAGTGGCCTCCTGCCTCGCAAGCGCAAGGACCTGAGTTTAAACCCCTGTACCAAAACAAAACAAAACAAAAAATCCCGCAATGGCCTAACCCCCGTGACCACCCTTATGTCCCTGAGTTGGTCTTTAATTCCTGGCCTCGAAGTCTGACGGGCAGAAGTCGCTGTCGCACGCAAGTGGGGCTCAAGTCCTTAGGTGGGAATGGGTCAAGAAGGAAAGAACAGCGGCACGGGCTCTGCTTTCTAAACAAAAACAATCCTTTCCCAGGGGTGCTTCGCACTCAGATCAAGCTCTGTTCGTCAAGATCCTAATTTCAAGACGGGGAGAGAAGGAAAGCCTGGGTTCCTCGTCATTCCCACCCGCTCCTCCATTTCTCGTCCCAGATCCTCTTTCCAACAGCGGAAAGGGCGAGGGCGCGGGCAACACGGTCCCGGTGTGCAGAGCGCACCGCCCGCGCC